GCAGCCCAGCCCTCGGGAGGGCTCTGCAGGGGCCAGCACAGGCATCCTGTCCCGCTGGGGTGGGGTATCAGGACCAGAGCCCGCCTCCTCTCCGAAAGATGCGTGCCGGGGCACTTAATCCATTCCCAACTCCCTAAGTCCAAGCCAGCCGCCCTCACAGGGCCACGGCACACACTAAGCTCCACAGTGTTTGTGGGATGAAGAGGAGTCCCTGTCTCCATCCCCTGAGCCACCCTGCCATCAAGTCTCGTCCCCTGTCCCTCCTGCACTCTGGTGGGAATTCTGGGTAATCCTGCCTGCCTTGAACAAATGCCAGAGGGTCACTATTCTACACACTCCACTTGGTTACTGTCTGAGGAAAACACACCATCTGGCCCCCTCCCCCCTCCATCCTGCCTCTGCATGGTAGCCCAGGTGCCATGAGGGAGAGGAAATGTCACTCGGCCTGTCCTGCGTGACCCATGGTCCCACGCACCCTCAGGCCCAGCGTGGCAGGCTCCAAAGGGGCCTGGGAAGGTGGGCAGAGCTGCTGGGATTAGGGGCACAGGTCACGTGGCAATGGCTATGGCCAGGGCTAGGGAAGGAAAGATGCCAGGCTGCACTGGAGAGAGGGAAGTCCAGCAAAGGCAAAACCCCACAGAGGGTCAGCGGGCGTCCTGGGCAGGGAGCAAGGGGAGGGAGGGCATGGCCAGGCCCAGGCCGGGAGGGCTCCCTGGAGGCACTGACGCTTTGATTCCATGGTCCTGCCCCTGCGGCCTTTTCCACATGTGCACCGTTTGTGCTAAGAGCTCTTGGTTTCCAGCTCAGGTGTGCTCAGCGCCAGCCACTGCATCACCACCACATGGCAAGCCCCAAGGTTTGGAGTAAAGATGCTTCCTGCTCTGAGCCCAGCATGGGGCGGGCAGCAGGGAGGCTGTGCATTTCCCTTTCTGTGGAGGATCCAGGAAGGCAACGCTGAGAGAGCCAGCAACGCCAGGCTCCAGGAAGTTTCTCTTTGCTTTTTCGAGACGGTCCATCCAAGGGTAGGTACCCAACTGACCTGAGACTGGCTGCCAGACGTGTATTCCAGGAGGCTAGGAAGCTAGGGTTTCAAACCATCGAAGGCTCTCTTTTTGGGAGGCGATGCTACCAGCTAGTACTTTTCCTCCTGTGTTCTGGGGAACTGTCCCTCCCATTTCTATTTGTCTCCACCAGCATCTCAGGAGGCCACGGGAAGGAAAACAGGCACATTCCAAGGTCAAGGGCAGAGGGGTGGCCCACACCTGAGCTTGTGGAGGGAGGAGGGGAAATTAGCAGGACCTCCCACACCCTTCTCCCCCCCAACCCCCAATCTCCCCCCAACAGCAGAGGCTCCAGCCCCCCGCGTACACCCGGGGTTAGAGGCGCCACGTTTTAGTCCCTGCCCTGACGCTAACTAGCTGTGCACCTCGGTCAAGTTGCTGCTTCTCTCGGGGCTACTTCTTCCCGCTCCATAAAATGGAGGACGGCACTCGAGCATTTCCAGTATTCGGTCCATCAGTGTGGCCCCGCAGTGCTGACTGAGGCTCTGATGAAAAAGCCAGCCCTGTGCCAGGCCCTGTGCTAGGTTCTTTATATCTGCTCTCCCGTTCCACTCCCAAAGGGCTCTCAGTGGGTATCACTGGCCTACTTTAGACGTAAGAAAACTGAGGCTCCAAAAGCTTAATTAAGTGTGTGTGTGTGTGTGTGTGTGTGTCCCGAGGCCCATCACTACCAGCAAGTTCCCAAGCCTTTCTCACTGCGGCCCACAATCTGCCCTGAGAGGCCGAGAAGGAGCCCGGGAATCCTGTCACAAATGGTACCTGCCTGGGTACTTGGTCTGGGAAGCCGGGAGCGTTGGAAGATCAAGACGGGAAACTGCCCGAGTTCCTTGGATGGGGGAAATGCCTATTTTGCAGTTTGGGCTGTTGGGAAAGGAGATAGGGTGCCTACTTGGGGACAGAACGGAGGGGCTTGCATCTTGGCTGGAGAGTCAAAAAAGCCACCAGAGCAGTAGGGCGGCGATGGCTCAGGATGCAGGTAAGGGAAGTGCAGCTCCAGGTGAGGCAGGCAGAGCAGGGAAGCCTTGGGGAGATGACCTTCCCTCCCCTGGCACCTCACACCTCTCTTCTAACAGACACCCTGCTCCCACCCCCTCCCGCTGTGTGATATCTTATCTGTCTCTCCTACCCCGCAAGGTGAGGTCAGAGAGCAAACCCCAGCCCTCACTGCTTGGGCACTCCAGTGCCCGGCCTGGTACCTGCCCAGACAGGGTAGGAGCTCAGCAAACATTTGGGGAATTACTGGATCAAAGGGAGCCCCCTGAGTCCCCCTGCTTCCCTCCCCCCTGAGGAAGAGGTGTGTTTGGAGTAGGGGCCCAGCAGGATATGCACATTCCTGGCAAGGAGGGACCTACCTGCCAGCAGCCAGAAAGGAAGTTTCGGGCCAGAGGCGGAGGAAAGGGGGTGGTAGGGGTGTCTAGGTGTAAGAAAGGCACCTACACAGAAAAAACAAAAACAAAAAAAAACACAGGGGCAGGTCCTTTGGCAAGCTGGGCCCAACCTGCCCTGCCCTGGCATTCCCCAGCATTGCTGTCAGGCCTTTCTCTCCCCCGGGCTCAGGGGTTCCCCAACTCTATAACTCCTGGGAAACCTGCCCAGGCCGGGAGGACAGAAAACCCCACCCAGAGGCCCAGCACTCAGTGCCAGAAGGTTCCCATGGTCTCCCACAACCCAGGGCGAAGGCTGGGGCCAGAGGAAGGTAGTGATTGAAGGGTCCAGAAGCAGTGAGTCAGTTCCTGGTGGGGTCCCGAGTGTGTGTGTGGGGGGAAGGGGGACACCCACAGTGCCACTTCCTCCCCATGCCACCTTGCCCCACTGGCAAGAGCGGGAGTCACACCAGATTGGGGGTTTTTGGAAGGCTCAGATCTACTGGTTCCAGGTGCTCACAGCAGTTCTCAACTCTCCCTCCAGCCTGCCAGGTGACAAAGAGCCCCAGAACCCAGGCCGAGACAAAGTTCCTCAAGTTTAAAACAAACAAACAAAAAACAACAAGCGGCCTGCAGACTTCCCCTTCCCAGGGAACGAGTTGGGCCAGGGGTTGTCTGTTGTCTGACTCTCCCTCCCCAGCTGGGCCGGCACAGCCCAGCAGTCTGCCCTGTGGGGCCCCTGAACCCACTGGACGGCTGGAGAAGAACGGCAGGGGGTTCAGTCCCCAGTCACCAAAGAAAGTGCATTTCTGGGTTCAAATTCTCAGGGCAGTGGTCTCCATTTCCGAGTTCTGTGGGGCTGGTTAGGCCCTCCCCGGGGCTCCAGGCCGCAGGGAGCACCCCGCGTCTCTCTCTGTAGGAGAGGCAGACAGCCGGCCCAACCTCAGGCCCCCACCTTACTTGCCCCTCCAGCTTCAGGGCCATGTCCCTCATCCCCAGACCCACACAGCTAGCTCGCTGCGGGCCGGCCCAGGTGGGGCGGGAGAGGCGGCAGAAGATGCTGACGTGCAAGTGAAAACCCGCATGGGCCAAAGCGCTCCTGGGCTTCTATGGGAGCCGTGGGGAGGGCGGCTTCAGACGCCGGTTCACTCCTCCACACACTTCCCAACGCCAGCCCCCGGCTCCCCGAGGTCAACCTGCAGGCAAGTCCTGAGCTGGGGTGCCAGGCGCCTTCACCCCCAGGCGCCCGGGAGGGCGGAAGCCGTCCGAGCGGGGTGGGAGAGGGATGGGGTGCAGAGGGACCCGGTGCAGAGGGACAAGCCAGGTGCTCTAGGAGCTCGGGTTCTCCGCGATCCCACATCCTCTTCTCCAAACCCGGAGAGCCGGAGCAGGCGCCGGTGTGTGCACCGGGTGCCCCCCGTTGGGGGAAGGAATGGGCCGCCCTCACGGAACCGCGTCCCACGAAATCACACGGTCCCTGGCCGGGGAGGCCGGGACCCCACGGCGCTCAGGGCGCCCCAGCGCCACAGGCTCTGCCGGGGGGTTAAGTTTGTTTGACGTGGATTTGGGGGGGGGGGGGCCCGCAAGGCTGGCCGTGGGGGGCCGTCCAAGACACTCAGTCCCCAGACTGAGTGAGGGTCCCGCTGGCATCGGGGGCAGTTTCCGGGTGGCCTCCGATCCCTCCCCCCCCAATGCGCGCGCGCGCACACACACACACACACACACACACACACACACACACACGCACATGGGGAGGCAGAGCTCTCCTCGATCGGGGTGATGAAGGTTTAAGGCCAGGGCAGCCCCCGCGCCACGCGAGCGCACAAAACCCCAGCACCCGCTCCAAGCGCACGCAAGTCCCCAGAAGTTTTCCGCTCCGCCCCAGAGCCGACCGAGGGATGGGGAGAGCCGGGCCGGTCCCAGAACCTCCCAGGTGCGGCTCCGGCAGCACGAGTCCCCCCTCCAGACCCGGGGCGACGCGGAGAGGGGGGAGGATCACGGCCCCCCATCTGCCTCGGCCAGCCGTGGGGAGTCCCGGGCAGAATGGGGTGGAGGAACTCACTTCCCCACTTCCCTCCCCGGCTCGGGACAGTCGGGCCGGGAAGTATTCTTTGTCTGAGTCCGGGCGGGCGGGCGGGCGAACGGGGGTGTCGCGCCCCCTTGCACCCCATTCCCAGCGGTCCGGCCGGGAGGGGGCGGAGCCGGGATTCTTGGGGAAGGGCGGGCCTCGGTAGCCTTTTCAGCCCCCCCCCCCCCTCCGGCCGACTCCAGCTACCCCCCCCATCCCGCCGCCACCGCCGCGCCGGAGCCCCCACCTGTTCCCCACGCCGCTCGGGGCCGCTCGGGCCGGGCCCGGGGCGGGGGCCGCGGCCGCGCGGGGTCAGGGCGCAGCCGCCGGCCCCGCTGGAACAAAGTGTGCCGGCCTGGGCCCGGCTCCTCCCGGCGCGGCTCCGGCGGGCAGTTTGCAAACACAAAGTGAGCCGGGGAGCGGGCGAGGGAGTGCGCGAGCTCGGGAGTTGGTCTGGCCGCCGGCCCAGCCCCCACGCCCCGTCCCCGGGTTCGGCCGGCCACCTACCTGTCCGGCCCGGCCGCTCCGTGCGGGCTCCGGCCCGTCAGCCCGCGCGGGGCATGGGGCTCGCTCGGGGCGCAGCCCGGGCCCGCCGCCGCCGCCCGCCGGGGCTGCCCCTCCGCGCCGCCCGGCGCCGCGCCGCTCCGGGGCGTCCTCCCTCCGCGCCCGCCGCGCCCGCCGCCGCCGCCGCGCGCCCTAGCCCCGCCGGGGCATCGCACTTTGCGGGCGGCTCGGCCGGCTCCGGCGGCGCTCCTCCTTCCCGGTCCTCCCGCGGCGCTGGTTCGCTGCTCCGGCTCCGCGGCTCCGGGACCCTGGCGTCCCCGCCCCCGGCCCAGCCCTGGTTCCGGCCCGGGCTCCTCCCCGCCGCGCCGCCGCCGCCCGCGCCGCGCCCTCCTCGCTGGACCGGGGCTTCGTCCCGGTCGCCGGGCGCGCTGTCCGGTCCGCGGGGGCGACCGGCTCCGGACTCCGAGGGGCTGCGACTGAGCCGGGCTGCGAGTGGCTGCGAGCGGGCGGCGCGCGGGCGGGGCGGGCGGAGGCGGGGAGGCGGGCGGAGGGGGAAGGAGGGAGCGCGCCGAGAGCCGGGCGGAGGGAGGGAGGGAGCGAGCGAGCAGGCGGTGGAGGGAGGGAGGGAGGGGGGACCAACTTCGAGCGCTACCATAATTCGCCTAAAGCAGGTGCAGCAGCTTTCTCCAGGCTGGGCTGCCGGCCGGGAGCGGGGGAAGACCACGTGGACCAAACTTCTGGGGAAGGAAAGTGGGGACACCGGGGAAAGTCGTGGGACTGTGGACCTGGAAAAAGGGGGAGGGGGAGGTGGAGAGACCCCAGGAATTCACCGGGCCTCTTGTATTCAATGACGTGCTTTGCACACCCCAGTCCTTCTCTGGAGCCTGGAGGTACGGCGAGCCCTGCGCCCACACGGTTCACTGGTTCCCGGCGGGCTGCGCTGGACGCGGGGAGTGGTGGGGCCGGGGCCGGGGCCGGGGGCCGGCCTGTGCCCCTCCTCGCCTCGCTCCCGGCCCCCTCGGCGTGGGGGTCGGGGTGGGATGTTGAGCCGGGGCGGGGGTGTGGGAGGCTGCTTCTGGGCTTTGTGCGCGGCCACCCCGGGCGATCGCTGCCTCCCTCCTCGGAAGGGGAATTTCCCTCCCTGCGCTCTGCGAACCGGCGAAGAAGGGGCCCCACGCCGGATCCACGCGGCCTGGAGAAATGCAAAGTAGACTCCGTTCTTCGGAGACATTAGACTGTAAACAAAACTCAGTGTTTTGCCCCGGAGAACTGAGGGGACTGAGGTGGTGGCAGTCAGCGGGGTGTGTTTGTGTTGGGAGGGGGAAGTCCGGGTGAGGAAAGGCCCAAGATCCCAGGGGGAGGGCGGCGCTGGTAACAGATGCCCCACTCAGAGACCCGTGCCAGCCCCAAGTGCTCCCTCCCACCCTCCGCCGCCCAAACATTTCCCATCTGGCCCTGTGTGTTGGGGTGGGGAGAGGTGAGGGATGGTGGAGGAGCACCCGGGACCAAGGGAGGAAGGGCCCTGCTGTGGGTGGGGGGCCAGAAGGCAGGGGCTGCTGAAGGCTCTCCTGGCCCAGATTACCTTTAGGGGAATTATGGTGAGGGTGGGCAGACACTTGTTGCTTCTGGGGACTGAGCTGGGGGTGCTTCGGGGACTGGTGCTCGGAGTGTGTCAGTGCTGAGGCCTGGGGAGAAGCATGGGGCTTGGGAGAAAAGGATCTTCAGAGAGGAGGCTCCCTCCCTCGTGGGCTGTCCTGTATCACTTGCTCCATTTCTTTTCTGTGAGTGCAGGTAGTGGTTGTCAGGTTAGTGAGACCTGTCCAGGCCCAGGTCCTGGGTATTTGCCCTGGGTATTTGGGTGGATGCCAGAAGCCTGCTAGGGTCCTGCTGGAACCTCTCAGGTATCTCGCTGTGAAATTGTTGGGGGGGGGGGGGGGGGGAGGAGAAACGGGACTCGAAGTGCCATTTATTTGGATACTGTTATTGGAAAGTGTCGTTTCCAATGTAGCAATAGCAGTCGCAATAAGAACAAAATAACACATCTTGCTTTGGAGTCATAGCACATCCCAGGACTCATTTCATTCTCACAATAACCCTGCGAGGTGGATAGGATTATTCTGTCCATTTACAAAGGCAGAAACTGAGGCACAGAAGATGAAGTCGCGTTCCCAGGCTTACACGGAGGCAGGACTCCAACCAGAGCCACCTCAGGACAGGAAAGAGCTCCTGGAGGGCTCTAAAGCAGCACAGCCTGCTTGGGGGTTACCTAGGAGTACCGTTTGGGGGAAGGAAGGCATTGGTCATGTGATCTGATTTATCTTCTATGGAGAGCCAGCTCCATGGGAGTCGGGCTTGTGTGGACTGGGGTGGGGGTGGGGGTGGAGGGCAGAGAGGGGGCAGGGCAGAGCAGGCCTGGAGTCCGCAGGTCCTGTGTGAGTCCAGCTGGACCATGACCCCTTCCCCATCCTTCTTGCAGAGGCCTGAGGTGGGTTTCTGCTGGGGGGGCGAGGGGGAATGAAGGAGGTGACCTCCCTGTGGCTTCTCCACCTCTTAGCAGCTCCCTTATCTCACATGTAGGCTCACTCGCCCGAAGAGATTTCCTGGGAATTTTTTGGCTCTCATTTCCATTTACCCCTCGTCTCCAGGCCAGCTCACTTCCCAGCACCCAGTGAGTCACCGTGGGTGGGGGTGGGGAGCCCAAGGGAGGCAAAAGACCCTGTCTTGTCTTCACCTAAAGGGCATTGTAGTGAGAAAACAAGGCCTCGCTAAAGAGAGGTACAGAACAAACACCCCAAAACCAAAGCAGCCGGTCCAAAGGTCTTCCTTCTGGGGCCGGAGCTCTGGATGAGGGTTCAAAAGAGAAGCCCATGGCTCCCCGGGTGGAGGGACTGGGAACAGTCGGGGAGTGGGGGGGGGGGGCCCTTTCTGTCCTTGTTCCTTCAGAGGGGCCAGGGCCAGGGGCTTTGGCTGTGGCAGGAACCAGGGCCCAGCTAGGAGTCCGGGGTAGAGAGAGGCGGCCTGGAGTCGGACTTCCGCCTCTGTCACTTCTCAGCTGTGTGACTTGGACATCGGAGCCTCAGTTTCCTCATTTACAGAAACTGGGAGGGTGCTTCCCGGAGTGGTGGGAAGGGCGCATGAACAAGTGTGGGCAAAGTCGAGCTCCGTGGCCTCAAAGTGCTTTCCACAGGCACTCGTTCTCCCTTTTGCGAGCCCAGTTTCCTTACCTAACAATGAGGAATGTGGACCTCACAAAACTTCAGATTATGCATATCTCGAGTTTATACTTATTACATGCCTGCTGTGTGCTGCTCAGCATTGTGGTTCTGCTCATTTTATAGGTGAGGAACTTGAGGCTCAGAGAGGTCAAGCAACTCACCCCAGGTGACATAGCGAAGAGGTGGCGCAGACCACCTCTTGTTCCCAGGTCTTCCTTCTCTGAAGCAGATGCCCTTTGCCAGGGGAAGTGGGCTCGTGGGTGAGCTTGTTCGGAGTGCCAAGCCTGGCATTCAGGGCTGTGCAAATTCAGAAACAGTTATCTCCTCATTCCCACAGTCCCTACACATCTGCACCCAGATGTTTTGTTTCCATCCATCTGACTGTTTGACTCTTACCTTTCTCCCCCGTCTAGCCTTTTTTTAGTTGTTAAGGAATAAAACTTTATCGGCATAGCGTAGCAGCTCCGCTCTTAAGTCCATAGCAACAGAAACGCACACATATGTGTGCTCACCAAAAGACACCCGCTAGCATGTGCTTAGCAGCACTATTATGACGGCCATCCACAGTGGAATGAAGTGAATAAACCTTAGGATTTGCATACATGAGCTAGCACTAGGCAATGAGAATGAGCAAGCGATTGTCACACGCAGCAACATGGAGAAATCTCACCACCAGAACATGGAGCATAAAAGCCAGACCCCTGAGAAAATGCACAGCGTGATTCCATTTATCTGAAATGCAAAAATCAGTCAGACTAATTGATGGTGTTACAACTCGGGAGAGTGGCTACTCTGGGTGGGGGAGGGGCGTGGGGGTTTCCTGGCTGTCTGGAAATGTTCTTGTGTGTTTTTTTCATTTGGTTACGTGGGTGTGCACATTTTGTGGAAATTAATTGGGCTGTATGTACACTTATGATTTATACATCTTTTTTTATGCCTAAAAATAAAAAGCGTAAACATGGTTGGTGATCTGGTTGAGTTCTTTGCCTGTCCTTCCCTCTCATTCTCCATCTTCCCCTGCCCAAGGCAGCCCGTTTCCTGAGGTTGGTCATTCGCCTTCCCAACTTAAGTTCCATGCTTGCACTCCTGGAGCACTGTGAGGGCATTATATATATATATATATATATATATATATATATATATATATATATATATATAATTGATTTTTTTACAGAGAGGAATGGGGAGGGATAGAGAGTTAGAAACATCGATGAGAGAGAAACATCCATCAGCTGCCTCCTGCATCCCCCCCACTGGGGATGTGCCCACAACCAAGGTACATGCCCTTGGCCGGAATCCAACCTGGGACCTTTCAGTCCGCAGGCTGACGCTCTATCCACTGAGCCAAACTGGTTTTGGCTGTGAGTGCATCTTGAAACGTGATGTGAAAGGTGGCCTTCTGCTCCTTTGCTTTTACTTTTTGTTGTTGTTTCATACTCAACCTCAGGCTGCTGAGATGAAGTCAGGTGTGCTGCATGAACTCCAGGGTGTTCATTGAAAAGGCTTCTGGAGCCGGGACTGGTTTGGCTCAGTGGATAGAGCGTGGGCCTGCGGACTGAAAGGTCCCAGGTTCGATTCCAGTTAAGGGCATGTACCTTGGTTGCGGGCACATCTCCAGTGGGGGGTGTGCAAGAGGCAGCTGATCGATGATTCTCTCTCATCGATGTTTCTGGCTCTCTATCCCTCTCTCTTCCTCTCTGTGAAAAATCAATAAAATATATTAAAAAAAAAAAAAAAAGGCTTCTGGAGCCTTCCATGGGTTACACAGAGTGTCGGTCTCTGCCAGGCCCCCCATGATGGACAGTTGGGTTGTTTCCGAGGTATGGCCATTGTGGCCATACTGCAGTGGGATTCCTTTAGGGGAGGGCTTCCAGGGCTTTCTGCTGCCTTCTGCTCAGTCGAGTTGTCTCCCCGCTTTCTTCTGTGGTTCCCCCATTCTGGAATCTCCTCCCCTCCCCATATTTCCCAGCTGTTCCTCCTACCCTGCTTCCCAATCTCTCTGACTCAGAAGACCCAGGGTCCGCGCTGGGGGCGGTGGGGGAGGGGTGGAAAGGGGCAGCCTTTCCCTTTGCCACAAAGGCCCCTGTTCCCCAAGATAAATGACGATTTAGACAAAGAAATATTTCATTAAGGGCTGATATCTTAATGAACTGTGCCAGGAACCTTCAAGGCACTCTCTAGACTCCCTCTTTTAAGGGGGGCTCATTCTCCTGGGGGGTAAAGCTTATCAGCTTACCACATTGCCCTGAGTAGAGGACCACGCAGTGAGGGCTTCTGTCCCATGGGGCAGGGGAG